CCCCTCAGCTGTGCAGTCTGTCCTGGCCCCCCTGCCAGGCTGTGCCCTGCCCCTCCCACCCCCAGCTGGAGCAGGAGAGATGCAGAATGGGGGTGGGACACCAACTGGTTGGGTGCTGACATCTCCATGCAACACATCCCATTTTTCCTCGCTTGCAGGAGCTGTGGAATCACAGAACAACATAAGGTTTGAAATGGGGGGACCTTAAATTCCATCTCATTCCACCCCCTGCCAGGGCCAAGGATACCTTCCACTAGATGAGGTTCTCAGAACTCCATCCAGCCTGGCCCTGAACACTTCCAGGGATGGGGAGTCCACAGCCTCTTTGGACAACCTGTGCCAGGCTATGGGATAAGGAAAAGACTCAAAGAGCAGCAGAACACCCAGGGTTGATTCATGGGAGTGGAGCTCACGGTCAGCCTTGATGGCACATAAACATCTGAGCCACATTTTAACAGGAAGTGGTAAATATTGGGCAATTTGCTCCATCAAGGTCCCCCTCAACTGTTCTGGTCCCTTCATCTGGGCTGGGAACTGGCATTTCTGCTACTGCAGCCTTAGAGACAAGGGGATCTTCTGTCTGTAGCTGCTGGGAACTAGAGCAGAGCACAGAATCATGGAATAATTCAGCTTGGAAAAGCCTCTGAGATTATCAAGTCCAATTACTCCCCCAGCATGGCCAAGGACACTAACCCATGTCCTCAAATGCCACATCCACACAGCTGTTAAATCCCTTCAGGGGTGGGGACTCCACCACTGCCCTCTGGGCAGCTGTGCCAGGGCTAGACAGCCCTTTCTGTGGAGGAATTTTCCCAATATCCAACCTGCCCCTCCCCTGGCACAGCTGGAGGCCGTTCCCTCTCCTCCTGTCCCTGTTCCCTGGGAGCAGAGCCCGACTCCCCCGGCTCCCCCCTCCTGGCAGGGATTGCAGAGCCAGAAGGTCCCCCCTGAGCCTCCTTTTCTCCAGGCTGAGCCCCCCCAGCTCCCTCAGCCCCTCCTGCTGCTCCAGCCCCTTCCCAGCTCCCTTCCCTTCCCTGGATGCTTCAGTAGATTCACTCCAGACATGCAAAGAGACAAAGTCAAAACCCCTCAGCAGCAGGGCACTGTCACGATGTCCGGGGTCCCAAGGGGAATTTGGGGTCCCAGGAGGAGGGACCAGGTGTGTCAGGAGCTGCCACTGTGTGCACTGTATCTGTGGAGCAGAGAGGAGGACTCCAGGCTGCTGCTGGATCACCAGGAGCTCTGGCACCAGTCCAAAATAAATAATGAAATTCTCTGAGCATCCAGGCACTGGGGACTTGGGGAATATGGAAAATTTACAGCACATTCTGCACTAGCTCCCACACAGTGCTCTCCAAGTATTAGAGGAACACAAACCCATCCTTCTCCAAGGGAAATCCCTTCCCCTCCACCAGGCCTGGAGGAACTGAGCAGGGGCAGGGTGCTGCTTCCACCCCCCTGAAAACACAACAGTGCCCTCCTGGCCCAGCTCGTGGCTGGAGTTTGGGCTCACACAGCTGGAACTGCTGCCAGGGGATGGTCACACACCTCTGGCAGTGTCACCCAATAAAATGGTCACACACCTCTGGTCACTCAATAAACCCTGCAGGGACCCCAGCCCATCTCTCTAATCCACCTCTGTCTCAGCACACCCGGCTGAAACAACAGTGCTGGGACCCACCCTGCGTGTCACCAACCTCCTGTGCCATCCCCCACCTTCTGTGTGTCACCTCCTGTGCCAGCCATGTGCCACCCCAGCCTGGGTGTTCAAGGCCTGTCTGGGAGGGCCATGGGGCACAGCAGGGTTGTGGTTGTGCTCACACCCGGCGCAGGTGGCAAAGGGCACCAGGGACCTCACTGGCTCCTCTCCCTGGGCATTTCCTACCACTGCACCAATTGGGTGGGGATTCCACAAGCCCTGTAGACCTTCAGGCTGTCCCTGAAGGAGCCTCAGTGAGTCCTCACCACTCCATCACTCACCCCCCACCCTCCACAGTCAGACCTGCACAATTCATTCCCTGGTCCTGGATCCCAAAGTGGTGCCCAGGGCTGTGCCTGGACCAGCCTGGGTAGGCAGGGACCTGTACACCAGCTGTGAACTTTACCCCTGTCCTTGCCTCAGACTCAAAGTGCTCTGGGACCAGAAACTGTTTTAGCTTTTTCGGGAACCACAATGGAGAGGAATCTGGGAGCCTTTTCTAGAGATCAGTGGGTATTCCTACTACAAACCTTTCAGTTGATTTTGTGCTCCTTTCTGATTTTATTGGACTACTGTTCCTCCCCTAGAAACCTGCAGAGACCCTGGGCAGGCTGTGCAGTGAGAGCAGCAGACCTGCAGTCAGCAGCTTCCTGGCTGCCACGACCCTTGAGGGAGCTGTCAGGGACCTTCGGGGACCAGCAAGAACCTCTAATTCCTGAGAGGAAATCAGTTAACCAAAACCTCCCCCTGAATGCTGAGTTACCATCTCATTTCAGGCAGGACAATTCAAGGAGGTGCTGTGCTGTTTTTTGTCTCCCTGTCTGTCTGTAGTGGGGATTTTATTAAATTAGCACTTGATAGAATCATCTCACTGCACCCCCTGCCCTGGGAAGGGACAACTTCCACTAGATCAGGTTGCTCCAAGCCCCATCCAACCTGGCCTTGGACACTTCCAGGGATGGGCCAGCTCCTCAGCCACCCCAGGTGAGCTCCACACATCCAGCTGGCCACTGGCACAGATGGTGACCCCCCTCCTCCTGTCCCCTGCCCGTCCTTCCCACAGCCACTCTCCTGCCATTTGCCAAGACATTATGATGAGAGAAGTGAGAGGAACTAAAATCATGAAGCCTCACTGCTCTAATTCATTGCCTCCAGAGCTCTCTGCAGACTGTTAACAAAGCACCACTGTCCATGAACAGCAAGAAAACCCAGTGGAAGTGGGATACTTGAACCCTGAACACTCAAGTCTTTGTCCATGATGAAAGCCAAGCTTGTCCCTGTCCATGCAGCAAAGCAATCACAGACTGGAGAGTGTTTTCCTTTCAGACACAAGCTGAGAGCTTGACTCAGCACAAGCCTGAGGCTCCACTTCCACTTCAGGCACAGACTCGGCTCCTTCTCTGTGCACAAAGACATTCACTGAGGGCAGAGGATTCTCAGCAACTTCCACTTCTCTCCCAAAGGTTTGTGAGATTTCATTTACTTTTTACAAAACACCAGTTGAAATTACAGAATCATGGAATCGTAGAATGGTTGGGGTTGGGAGGGACCTTAAAGCTCATCTTGTCCCAATGTCCTTCCATGGCAGAGAACCTTCCTCCTTCCACTCCTCCCCCTCAGAAAAGGCTTCTTGAGCTCCAAAGATACTTACAAAAACCATCAGCTGAGCTAAAAGAGAATAGGTGTCTCCAGAGCTGGAGAAAAAGTAGGAATTGTGGGAGCTGCAGTTTCCCACCGCGTGTGGGTTATTAAGCTGACATTTTAACCACACTGAAATATAAATCTCCCTGCTCAGCTGGCTAATGCCCTATTAGGCACGGCCCCCTGACCAGGAATGGCCCAGCTGGTGATTCATTGACTCAGGAACATGTCCCTGGGCAGTTTGCTCCTGACCCAGCCAGCGTGTCCACCCAAGGAGCAGAGCAGAGAGTTTAAAACTGCCTCCTCCAGGGTATAAAGCCATTTTGGGAAACCCCAAGGAGCAGACAGATCCATAGAATCCCAGAATTATTTGAGTGGGAAAGGACCTTAAAGCTTATTCTGTTCCACCCCCTGCCATGGGCAGGGATACCTTCCACCAGCCCAGGTTGCTCCAAGACCCATATATTGACCAACTCAGATGGCAGCTCAATTGTTCTCAGAGCTGCCAACAGCAACACACTCTCCTGACGTATTTTCCTTCTCACAGCTCCCTCTCCTCTCAGAAATCACATGGCTGCTCTGAGCAAACACTCTTTCTTTTGCTAAGAAAGCCAATGCAAACACAAATGTTCTGAGGACATTGAAAAAAACCCAACGACACGAGCAGCTTTTGTACCCGGCTCTGTTATCTCCACTGGGAGACAAACAGCCTTTAATGAACAGACTTTCATTTCCCCTGTGCCCATCACGGAGTGCCACCTTTGATCAAATCAGAAGAAAATAAAACAAAGAACAGAAGAAATGCGTTGAGTGTTAAGAAAGTTTGGGAGTTCTAATCTGAAATCATAAATCTCTCCCTTTTTTTGAAGTTGTTACTGGAATGGCTGGAGCACAGCAGGGATTGGGTTGCTGTGTCAGAGTCACCTGCTGCGTCATTCAGGTGTGAACACCCCTGGTCCCAGAGAGCAGAGAACCATCAGGGACACTGGAACATGATCCACTAGCCCCCATCCTGATGCAGGGCACAACATTCTGTGGATCCCATGTCCAGGGAGAGCCATTCCCTGACATCTCGGGGTCACCAGCCACTCCAGAGGTTGGAATTCCGTTCAGGAGTCATGGTTTAATGCATATATTTCCTTCAAACACAGGAAAATAAAGCCTTTCCTGACCTCCCCAGCTTCTTCAGCAGGGAAACACCTTCAGCAGCAAGAGGTGCCAGGGTCCCTCAACAACAAGGGCAGGACAGGCCACCCACCCTCTGTGCCGTGGTGAGCAGTGAGTTGCCCATTCCAGCCATGGTTGGCGTGCCAGTCTCCTGTCTGGTGACTGACAAGGTGTTCAGGGTCTGGGCACTAAGAGAACAGGTGAAGGAACAGGCAGAAACGAGGCTGTAGGACAGCAAACACAACCAGCAGCAGCGGGTGACAGCAAGTCAGGAGGTGTAGGAGCCTCAGTGATACCCAGCTGAACCTGTGCAGTCTCTGCCAATGGAGCATTCATGGGAAGCAGCTCCGGTAGAAACCAACAGCAGTGAAAGTGCTGATGACCCAAGCCCACGCTTCCAGAAATCCCACCACCCTCAACCTGTCCTGAGTGCCTTGGGCAAACCTCGGGTGAGAAGTCCTGCAGCTCTTGGTGCCGCTTTCCAGACCCTGTCCCGTGTCCCCCTTCCCCTGCTCAGCACCTGCCCCAACAGCTGGGGCAAGGACACTCCCCCGCGGGGCAGAGGAGGCGGAGGACACGCTCCCGGATCTGCCTGGTCCTCACCCCGTAAACGATGGGGTTGAGCATCGGCGGGACCACGACGTAGAGGTTGGCGAGGAGGATGTGGACGTGGCTGGGGATGTGGTGGCCGAAGCGATGCGTGAGGAAGGAGAAGAAGGCCGGCACGTAGAACATGAGGATGACGCAGAGGTGGGAGCCGCAGGTGCTCAGGGTTTTGAGCCGAGCCTCGGGGGACGGGAGGCGGAACACGGCCCTGAGGATGAGCGCGTAGGACACGGCGATGAGCACGACGTCCAGCCCCGAGGAGAGCAGCGCCGTCGTCAGCCCGTACCACACGTTGGCTCGGATGTCGGCGCAGGCCAGGCGGGCGATGCCCATGTGCTCGCAGTAGGTGTGGGGCATCACGTTGTGCCCGCAGTAGGGCAGCCGCTTCAGCAGGAAGATGGGTGGGAACATGATGCAGAAGCCCCGGACGACGGCGGTCACGGCGATTTTCCCGATCGCCGAGGGCGTCAGGATGGACGAGTAGCGCAGCGGGTCACACACGGCCACGTAGCGGTCGAAGGCCATGGCCAGCAGCACGGAGGATTCCACGATGAAGCTGAAATGGGTGAAGAACATCTGCGTGATGCAGGCATCAAAGGAAATCTCTCTGGCGCTGAACCAGAAGATGGCCAGCATTTTGGGCACCGTGGTGGTGGACAGCATGAGGTCAGAGACGGCCAGCATGGCGAGGAAGAGGTACATGGGCTCGTGGAGGCTCCGGTCTGTGCTGATGACGAAGAGAAGGACCGAGTTGCTGAACACTGCGGTGAGGTACATCAGGCAGAAGGGCACGGAGATCCAGATGTGGCACTCCTCCATGCCCGGGATGCCTGTCAGGACGAAGGTGATGGGGTCGAAGCTGCTTTCGTTGAGCTCGTACATGGCGCTTCGGCCCTCGGTGTCAGCCTGGCTTGGCTCTGCACAGGAAAGAGGCGAGATAAATGGTGCCTGCTGCCTGGATTTGCCCACAAACCCCTACAGATGTTACAAATCAGGGCACAAGGCCTTCCACCCTGAGGGGTTCCCTCTCTGTGTTTTGCTGTACAAAGCACCCTGTTTGCTCTATCAGCACTACAAACTGTGTCTGTAAGGAAAACATCTTCTCTGTGCCTCCACTGCCACCACAAACCACGTCAGGCCCTTTCCTAGATCAGCTTTATCCACTGTCCCACAAAGATTGCAGAAGTCGCTGTCAGCCTTGTCACGATCGGTGGCTGCACCTGTGAGTGCACAGAGCCTGTGGTGGGACCTCCAGGGAGGTGAAATGACACAATTCCTCACCTTGCTCAGATCAGTGACTGATACATTTCCAAGAGCTCCTTGTACAAACCACAAATTCAGGAACGAATCCTGCCCCAGTACCAACACTGGGAAGTGTCTGCAATGTGACTGACACCCAACTGCACCTCTGAGGGCTGTGGCCATCCCTGACACTTCTCTCTTGGAGACCCTTTAGGCACTGGAAGAGGCTCTAAAGTTTCCCTGGAACCTTCCCTTCTCCAGGCTGAACACCCCCAGCTCTCCCATCCTAGCTCCAGAGCAGAGGGGCTCCAGCCCTTTCTTTTCCTTCCTTTTCCTTCCTTCCTTTTCCGCTCCTTCATAAAGAGGGGCAAAGACACGGTGGGCTGCACAGAGTGATCCTTGGACAAAGAAATGCTGGCCCAAAGCAGAAATCCCCCAGAGAGACATGCCAGAGTGTACAGTTCTGCACTGATGTCAGCCCGTGGCACCGCCCCAGCCTCTGAGCTCAGTTTCATCGTTCCTGAAGTGCTGGGGCAGCCTGAGCTCAGAGCTGGGAGCACCGTCCCAGAGCTGGATGTTTGGAGCTGGGAGCATCATCCCTGAGCTGGGAGCACCCTCTCATAACTGATCAGCCTGCGGGTGTTTTTGCACCTTTGAATAATGCAAACAAGCCAAGCTGCGGGTCCTCCCCGGAGGCTTTACCGTGAGAACGGCTTTGAGGAGAAGGAACACCACAGAACTGATGGGTTTCCATGCTTTCCCCCATTTTAGCCCCCAGCCCCCATGTAAGCTCCATCATACGGTAGAAAAACTCCAGGCCAGGCTTGGGATGGAGGAAAACCAGTTGGATTTGGACCAAAGCTAAACCTTTCCTGTTTGCAGCCTGTTTTACTTTCATTGCAAACTGAGATACTCGAGTCAGACGTGTTTGCATTTCTAAGCACTTCCATTAAGGATTCTCAGCCTCCCTGAACCCAAAGTCCACTGAAAACATCGCCTAGTACAGAAAAGACCTTCAGCTCAACGCAAATATTTATCCAGTCCCTTCTTCCACTTGCAAACCCACGCCACCCAGGTGAATCGAGCCAGGCTGGGTCTAGAGCTGGGGATTAAATCCGCCTGGGAACGTTCCCAGGCTCCAGTGCCAGCCGGTGAGATTCTGTGTGGGCTGCAAAGCCCCTTCCACCTCTGCTTCCCAGTTTATGGAAATCTATTCCTCTCACACGCCGCTTTCCTTTCCTTCAGTCTTTTCAAACAGATCCCAGCGTTCGATATAAAATGACTCACCGAGGACCAGCCCCAAACCGAGAGGAGGAACCACAGCCCCGGGCGGTGCCGAGCTCGGGGGAGCCCAAATCCCCGCTGGGCTGCCAGGGCTGGGGATGTCGGCCCTTCCCTCTCCCGGGTCTCGGCGGGAGCATCAGCCCCTGCACCTGGGGACGTTTAAACTGCCGATGCATTAACCATTAACAGCAGTTAGCACTCCCGGGTGAGGCATTTCCTGCTTTTCCAGAATTTGCATTGCAAGTGATTTTTCTCCCTCTCCCCGGGCGTGAGGACCTGAGGGGGCACAGCGCGAGCCCTCCCGGGAGCAGGAGCATCGCGGATGTTTGGTAGTCTTTTGCCTGCAACGGGGAAGAATTGCCTCGTTCCTCCGCTGAAACCTCCCAAAACAACCCCCTGGTGCTGCCACGTGGGAGGGGATTCTCTGGCACCCCACCCCTGCCCGTGGGCAATGAGATACAGCCACGAGTATGATGTGAAGAGCACTGATCAAATCAATAACCTACAAAATCATCATTTGCAAGAAATTCCTGGCTGTGAGGGTGGGGAGGCCCTGGCACAGGTTGCCCAGAGAAGCTGTGGATGTCCCAGGATCCCTGGCAGTGTCCAAGGCCAGCTTGGACGGGGCTTGGAGCACCCTGGGCTGGTGGAAGGTGTCCCTGCCCGTGGCAGGGGTGGCACTGGATGGGCTTTAAGGTCTCTTCCAACCCAAACCCGTCTGGGATTCCATGATTCTGTGATCCCTAAGATCTCAGTCCAAAAAGTACTGCCAGAAAAGACAATTCTGAGCAGTGCCCTGCCCCACCCAGCAACACTGATCCCAGCCCTGGCCCCTCCACCCCCATCCCTCCGGGGCCCTTTCCGCTGGGACACGTCTCCCTCCTCCCCCAGAGACAGGGGATGCCTCCCCACGGTTCCTGGGGTAAGGAGGCAGCAGGAGAGGGTGGAGCAGCTTGGGCTGAGCAGAGCCCGGGAGCAGGGACCGAGTCCCAGGAACAGAGGGTGTCACTGGGAGGAGCAGGACACGGGGGTTGCCCCTGCTGTCCCCAGAGCTGGGGCACTCAAAGGTCTCTCTGGGGTGGCATGAGAAAGAGGATCCCAGAGAGCTCCTTGGGGTGCTCCAGCCAGCACAGGAGAGGTGAGACCCGGGCAGCACCGCTTGTGTGTGACTGGAGAAACGCTGAGACTTCAGGAGGGCAACTCTAGAGGTCCCTGTGAGGCAAGAAATGGTCCTGCAGCCCAGCAGCTCCACAGGGCTCCCGGTGGCATCGCCCAGGGACTGTGGTGACATCACCCAGGGGCCACGGGAGGTAGCAGGGTCAGACCCCACAGGCACTGGGCAGCTGGTGTGGGGGGCACCAGGAGGGTCCAGCCAGATGCTGTGGAGGGGACCAGGACAGAGAGGGCAGGGATGTACTGCAGCCTGGCACAGAGTGGCACACAAGCCCCATCTGTCGTCCAGGACGTGAGGGGTGTCCGTGGCATATCCTGAGGCAGCCCCTCCCCAAGACCTCACTGTCCCCTCAGAGCAAGGGGCGTTTGCGCCGTGGCTGCAGCTGGGTCTGGCTTCAGCAGAGCTTCAAGGAGACGGATCTGAAGTGTCCAAGGCCAGGTTGGACAGTGCTTGCAGCAAGGGCTTGGTCTAGTGGAAGGTGTCCCTGCCTGTGCCAGGGGGTGGGACTGGGTGAGCTTTAAGGTCCTTCCCAACTCAACCCCTTCCATGATTCACTGCCCCATCCCCTGAGCTGCTCATCCCCCCAGGGATGGCAATGGCAAGACTGACAGGGACAGAATGACAGCAAGGATGGCACAGCTTGGCACAGCTCAGCACAGCTCAGCACGGCCCTGCTCCCTGCCCTGAGCCCCTCACCTGCTGCTTTCCCAGCTGCTGCACCATTGTTCCCAGGGCTTTTTAAATCATTTTTATTTACCCACAGACCCTTTTCTTCCCAGTGCCTGCAGCAGGCAGGGGAGGACTGTCCCCCCACTCCTTGGTGCACCTAAGCACAGAACCCTGTCACTGGTCTGGACTGGACCAGGCAGGGCCCACCAGAGCTGAGCCCCCACCACGGAAACTGCCCCAGCTGGGGTCTGGTTCACATCAGCCCCCCATGTGACCTCCAGGGTCCTGCTGACACCAAGAGTTTGGAACCCCCGGGCAGCCTGTATCTCACAGACACACCCCCTCCATCTCCAACCCCATGAGTGCTGCAGGGAGGACCCCACAGACACGGGGACCTGGCTGAGCAGAGCCAGGTGAGGGGGTTGGGAATTGTTTGGTTTCCATAGGAATGGTGTCAGAGCAGATTCCAGCAGGAAAGGGCAGCAGTGGCTCCCCCAAAAGCCTCCTTTGGGACTCCACCCCTGTCCTCAGTGTTGGGCTTTGTCCTCCCCCCTTTCACCCTCAAACCAGAACACTAAACCGCCCACCAAGAGATCAGAGAGCAGCAGAGCTCAGCTCCACACCAACCTCACAGGGTTATTTGCTTTTCTGCTTCTCCAGCAGATTTGGGGCCGGTTCACACCAGACGTGGGCTCAGGGGGTCCCTGCTACCTCTGTCACCAGAGCCATGGCCAGGCCCTGCCATCCCAGGGAGCAAAACTGGGACACCCCCCCTCAGATCTTCTCCACTGTGTGGGTTTGCGTTTGTCTCCTCACCCACACAACCTCGGGATATATTTAACCTGTCAATGCTTTCTCCCGGGAAGAGCCCGGGGCTGCAGGACACAATGTAACAGCCCATAATAGCTCCGTGGTGAACACCACACGCCCAAGGTCAAGAGAGCAGGATGTGGAGCAGCAGCACGGGTGCTCAAGAGCTGCTGTTTCTGTTCTCAGAGCATCTTCCCTGGACAGAGCATCACCTGAACCAGGTGGCCAACCTGGGGCTGTCATCCTCCCCTTCTGCATCAAGGCCAGGCCAGGTGTGCTCTGGGGACCCCCTGCAGAGGATGAAATCATGGAATTGTTGAGATTGGAAAAGCGTCTGAGATGGTCGAGTCCCCCTGCTCCCCCAGCACTGCCAAGGCCACCACCGCCCCCTGTCCCCAAGTGCCACATCCACACAGCTGCTAAATCCCTCCAGGGACGGGGACTCCAACAATTTTCCCAATATCCAACCTGAACCTCCCCTGGCACAGCACAAGGCCTGTGCCTGTTTGGCCACCTGTGCAGGGCAGCTCGAGTGCTGCACTGCTGCTCTGCTCCCCTCCCCTGGGCAAACAGCACCTGGGAACTCCTGGGGGTACGGCTGTGATGTTCCCAGCTCCCCCCACAACACCCCAAAGCCCCCTCACTTCACTCCTGGAGCGGAATGGGGTTGCAGCCCCATAGGGGTTCCCAGCGGAGAAGGACGAGGATGCTGAGGGCAGGTGGGACAAAGATTGGGTTGAAGCTGAAACTGCCCCCCTGGGGCTCCAGAAACCTGCAGGAATTTCCTCTGTTGCTGCCTTGGAGTTTCCTGGACAGGGGGGCAGTGAGGCAGGTGCCAGAGTCCAGCGTGTCCACAGAGCTCCCCTTCCTCAAGAGGGATTTCCAGAATGGAACATCTGTGGGATAAAACTGAAATTCCAATGGAAACGGTGACACACGGATTGTAGGGCTCATGCAGGTTAAATAAGGACTTTACTGAACAACTAAATAATTAAATAATTAAGTAATTAAATAATGAATTTGCAGAATAACTAAATAATTAAATGAGTAATTAAATAATTAATTTACTGTATAGCTAAATAATTAAATAATTAAATAACTAAATAACTCAACAACTAAATAGCTAAGTAATTAAAAAACTAGATAACTAACAACCTTGGGCATAAGCAGCAAGCAGTTAATTATCTAGCTACTTAATTATTTTCATTAACTACCCTCTCCATCCTCAGTTGCAGGGCAGCTCAAGCAAGAGGACCTCCAAATTAGATGTGTGGGATGGGCAGAGCTTCCCCTGGACGGTGGCTGCAGGAGCCACTGCTCTGGCACATGAGACCCCCTGGAATCACTGAGGTTGGAAAAGACCTCCAAGATCATTGAGTCCAACCTTTGACCCATCACCACCTTGCCAAGCACCCTCTGAGTCCAACCATTCCCCAGCACTGCCAAGGCCACCTCTCACCGTGTCCCCAGTGCCACATCCCCACATCAAGGTGTGTGTGTGGTGACAGCAGGGTGAGGGGGATGTGAAGGTCTGTAGGTAGAGCCACAGCAAGGTGAGGAATTCCCACGGGAAAGCTGCTGGAGTGCAGCCACTGGGGAAACACCGACTCAGCAGGGGCTGAATCCACCACAGCAAATGTCACCATGCACCAAAAATGGCATAAAAAATTACATAGAATTACATATAATGACAGGTAATTACATGCCTGACTCAGGCTGTGGTGACAGCTCTCCTGGTCTGCCTGGGCCAGGGGATGAGCAACAGCTTCCTAGAGCTTGGATAAACAGCAATTCCACCATGGAAACTCCTTCAGCTGCCGGCTCCAGGCTGCCCCAGCTGCAGGAGGGAGGTCCTGCAGGTGGGACGGGTGGAATGGGGCTCCTGGGGCTGCACCAGGTGCCCTGGGAGTCCCAAAGCACAGAGGGGTGAACATGCGGTCAGGGCTGCTCTGTCCCAGCACAGGGAGAAGCCCCCCAGGGGGCTGGGGGTGTCACAGAGGGCCGTGGCAGTCCTGGCAGCACCCCCTGCCCGGGTCAGGACCCAAAAGCTCGTTTCTCTCACGAGTTGTGCCGAAACACCCATCTCTCCATGTCTGCTCCCATAGGATCCTGCAGTACCACCGATCCCTGAGCTCCCAGAGCTGCTGCTGAACCATCCCCCTGGGGCTGGAGAGGGAGCAGGACAAAGAGCCTGGCCAAATTACGGGGAAGTTGTGGGGGGAAAAGACTGTGAGGGAGACTGACTGACCGTGGGGCAATGCTGTGGTGTGGGATGGGGCTGAAAAGAGACAGCCCAGGCCAGGGGGCTGTGATTTCCTGCTGGGAAGCTCTAGCAGCGACTCAGCACACTGTCGCTGTCACAGGCTGGCAATTAAGAGCCTGGAGGTGAAACTGGGACTGGGGTCCCTGTGGGACCCTGCACCTCTATGCACACACAGGCTGGGGGCAGGTACAGGTGCTG